CCTGTGGTCCCAGCTACTTGGGAGGCTGAGGCAGAAGACTCGCTTGAACCCAGGAGTTGGAGGTTGCTGTGAGCTGTGATGCCATGGCCCTCTACCCAGGGGGATAACTTGAGGCTCTGTCTCAAAAAAAAAAAAAAGACAAATTCAGTTCAGTAGGTATAGTGTATTTCCTGTGTGCTCTTAGAGATCGTTGGGAGTATGTAAAGAGTGAAATATATAAACCCTACCTTCCTGAAATTTATAGTCTTATCATGCTGAGGACAAGAACTTTAGACAGTATAATTCTAGCTGGGGAAGCTGTGCAAAGCCAGCATTTGATTTGGACCCTGAAAGAAAAATAAACAGTAAAGTTTGCTATTTCTCTTAAGTATCTGCCCTTTATAAATCACCATGCTAAGCATTTTATCTAATCCTTAACAATAGCATTTCTAGGTAAGTGATAATCTTCCCAGTTTGCAAATGGCAAATCAGAGGCACAGGCAGAGAGAAGTTACCCAAAGTCACACAGCTAGTAAGTGGTGTGACTTGTCTTGTTCTCCACTGCCTAGAGCTGCTGCTGAGACAGTTACCAGGACATCAGTCAAGGAGCACAGCTACAGATGACAAGCTTTGAGCTCTGCTCTAAGAGCTTGAAGTCTGATGGATGGAATAGGATCTATGCTTAGGGAAAAATAATTACAAATGTGAGACAACATATCACAACTTGATATTTAGTAAAGAAGATGATGTATGGGTTAGAGTTCTCCGAAAAAGGCATGAGGCAGCAAGGAAGAATGGGTCGGCTTCAGATGAGTAGGGTGGCTGTATGGGGTGGCTCACACCTGTAATCGTAGTGCTTTGGGAGGCCGAGATGGGAGGATTGAAGGGATCACTTAAACCTAGGAATTTGAGGTTACAGTGAGCTATGATCACCACTGCACTCTAGCCTGGGCAATAGGGTGAGACCCTATCTCTGAAAAACAAAATTAAAAAATGAATATGAAAGAGGATATTTCAAGCAATACAAAGAAAGGCAAAGGCCTAGGGTTAAGAAATGAATATGGTATATTCAAGAGATAGGGTTAGATTTGTGGCTCTATTTCCTAAATGTGTGCCTTTGAATGACACATTTAAGAAATAATCAGGCTCGGCGCCTATAGCTCAACCGGCTAAGGCGCCAGCCACGTACACCTAAGGTGGCAGGTTCGAATCCCCAGCCCGGACACGCCAAACAACAATGACGACTGCAACCAAAAAATAGCCGGGCGTTGTGGCGGGCGCCTGTGGTCCCAGCTACTTGGGAGGCAGAGGCAGGAGACTCGCTTGAGCCCAGGAGTTGGAGGTTGCTGTGAGCTGTAATGCCATAGCACTCTACCCAGGGGGAGACAGCTTGAGGCTCTCTCAAAAAAAAAAAAAAAAAAAGAAATAATCACTAATTCTTCAAAGATGCAAGACATAATTAGAATCAAAATGTGCTGAGTTATTAATTTATTTAGCACATTTTTATTGAATCACTACCAGTTAATGAGCATGTTGTAGATGAATGGCATACACCAATGGACAACACAGCCGCACACTGCTTTCATTGAACATAGATGCCCATTTTTTTTTCTTTTTTTGGAGACAGAGTCTTACTATGTCACCCTCAGTAGAGTGTCATGGCATCACAGCTCACAGCAACGTCAAACTCTTGGGCTTAAGCGATTCTCTTGCCTCAGCCTCCCAAGTAGCTGGGACTATAGGCACCTGCCACAGCACCCAGCTGTTTTTTGTTGCAGTTGTCATTGTTGTTTAGCTGCTGGGCCAGGTTCAAGCCTGCCAGCCTGGGTGTATGTGGCCAGCACTATTACCATGGTGCTATGGGTGCCACTCCATTAGATGCCCATTCTTGCTCTTACTTTATTTATATAGTCCTTAAGTCTAAAGCCATTCTGTTCTCTCCTTCCCTCCCCAACCCATTTACATCTTGGGGTTAGTTTTGTGAGTATTCCAGAGACTCTGTATCTCTTAGATTATTAGGAATTTTGTTTATCCTGTTTAGATGACTTGTTTATTTCAAGAATTAAGCAGATTTATATCTCTAGGACATAAACTTTTTCATTCTTTCATTGCTAATGTTGGTTTTTGTTTTTGAGGCCTGGGAGATAGAGTCCAAGGTGTATTTATATGAGATAATGATGCATACGGTTTTGCTTTTGTGTCCAGAGCTTTGTTGGAAAACATAAAGGAAGCCATTCTTACCTTTGTGAACAAAGGCAGTATTGTAACCTAATAAAACTCAAGAGTAAGTAGTTAATAAGAATTGATGAGGATGCATTAGTTTAGTAAATGACAGACTCTGCTTTTATTGCCAGTAACGGAGCCAGGTGTCTCAGAGATACTAAGTTTATGAATTCAGTGAAGACTACATATAATAAATTTCCATGTTTATCTCTAAGAACGTCGTGCTTCATCACCATTTGCCCCTACCCAACATTACTTAAAGCTTCATATCCTGAAATGAAATCTGAACAGTGAGACTTGACAAAAGAGAAAATTAAGTCAGGTGACAGTGGTTTGTCCATTAGCAGTACTTAGTAGCAGCACAGTGCTGATTTAAGCCAGTTGGTTACTGCTTTATTCATCTCTTAGCAGTATTTTTGGATTAAACACTCAGACTCCCTTCCAGGTAAAAAGGACCCATGGGACAACAAGAATAGGGGAGCATCAAAGAGCCTCCTATAGGGCAGTGTCTGTGGCTCAGTGAGTAGAGCACCGGCCCCATATACCGAGGGTGGCGGGTTCGAACCCAACCCCGGCCAAACTGCAACAAAAAAATAGCCAGGCATTGTGGCAGGCACCTATAGTCCCACCAACTCGGGAGCCTGAGGCAAGAGACTTGCCTAAGCCTAAGAGACAGAGGTTGCTGTGAGCTGTGATGCCACAGCACCCTACAAGGGCAACCAAGTGAGACACTGTCTCCAAAAAATAAAAAAATTAAGAAAAAGGCCTCGGGTGGCACCTGTGTAGGGCTCTGGCCCCAGCAAAAAAACTGCAAAAAATAAAATTAAAAAAACCTTCCTATAGTCTTAATTATTTCCTGGTGTTTAATGTCTACTTCAAAAAAGATTACCTAACAATTAAGGGGAATTAGTGTTTTTCCATTTCAAGTTTTTTGTTTTTTTGGGTTTTTTTGAGACAAAGCCTCAAGCCGTGGCATCACAGTTCACAGCAACC